GGCCCCGCGCCCCGCCCGCACCTGCGGCCGGCCCGGCCTGCCCCGGCCGAGCGGGGCTCCGCGGCCGAGCCTCGCTGCCCCCGCGGACCGCCCGCCCGCCCTCCTCCGGGATCCCCCTCCGGCCCTCCGCGGTCCCCCGGCCCGGCCCCGCTCGGCCCTCCCGCGCCGCCCGCCCCCGTGCCGGGCTGAGCCGCCTCCGAGCCCCGCGGCGGCCGCGGGCCCGGCGCTGCCCCGGGCGGGCGGGGACACGTGCGGAGGTAGCGGGACTCGGCCGGGGAGGCCGGGGCTTTGTGTGTCCCCCCCCCGTGTCACAGGTGTCCGGCCCCGCTCCGCGCGAACTCGCTTTGGTGGCCGTGCAAAGTTACTTTAAGTTCTGCTGAATATTTGCGCGTGTTATCGTGGCTGCGCGTCCAGGTAGGTTGTCGCCGGAGAGGTCCCTTTGCCTCCTCCTTGGATAACTACACGTTAATTATCACACACGCGTTCTCTCAGCGGAGAGAACGAGGAGTGCCTGAGTGAGCTTTGGATGCTTAAACGCTGAATAACTAACTGTACATTAATTATCACACGCACAGCGAGCGGAGAGAACCAGGAGTGCCTGACTGAGGTACAGGAGTGCCTGAGTGAGCTTTGAATGCTTAAACGCTGAATAACTAACCATACTCTAGTTATCACACACACAACGAGCAGAGAGAGCCAGGAGTGCCTGACTGAGCTCTGGATGCTTAAACGTGTTTAAAAACCGGGGAACATCTCCTCGGTATTGCTTAGCACTCGAAGTGCTTCCATCAGCAAGCACCAGACGCTGTTTAAAAGGAAATAAAAAGGTAAAGCTGGTTGTGTTGCAACGATCTCCGTGCCTCAGCAGAATGTGGTGCCCGGGTATTAAAACTCTTGCACTTTGAAATCAGAAGCGTGGGATTGCGTATCGAGTATCGTCAGGTATGACAAATAAAAGATTGCACCGAGGTCTGTTAGACACACAAAAGATGTTATCTAAATAAAGCTGCTTCAAACTGGTCAGACTTGCTTTCTGGGATGCAGCAGACCTTATTGGAAGTAAAAAGGTCTGTGGCAAAATCGCGTCTGAGTACAAAGTGTGCAAAACAGGCATAAGGTGGAGTTTTGGGAAGAGTGAAAGGATGTCCAATTGAATTTTTATGCTCTGATAAAAATTCCTACATGTAAAGGGAAAAACCCCAAATCTCTTAGCGTTTTTAATATTTGGGTTTTTTTAGTACCATTTCCAAGTACAATAATTACTGGACATGCATTTTTACACTGTGGCTGCTACGCTTTAATATTTTAAAATATTCTAATGATCTAATAATACTTTGATGCACTCCCTGTACCTTAATATTAGAGAAATCCTAATTATGTTAGTGAAGCTACAGGATTAGAAAGTCAGCAGAAGTATTAAGGCTTATTTATTTGTCTTACAGTTTGTAAAAATAGTGTGTTGTAGTTGAGGTATGAAACTTAGTGAAAGTCTGAGAACTCTCTTGGTCCTGCTGATCTGTTCTTCAGGAACATAGTTGTTGTTCTCAACAATACTTGCTGTCATAACCCTTTCCATAAGTGCATCTCAGGGATGTGCAGTATTTTTCACTTGTTGGATTTTCATATTCACGTGGTTTGGGGATTTAACAAGGCGTATTTTACGTTAAAATGAATTTTGGTTTGGAGTTTCACTTTTAATTTTATGGAGTTAACTGTAGCCCGTAGTCTTTGTATTGGCAGAGAGGTCTTGGGGACCTGGACCTTGCTGGAACTGCAGTCAACAGAGTTACTGTGAAACTGGTTTTCATTTTGAAGATTAACTTGTGCTTCCTGGTGTTCATCTGTTGTGGAATAGGAAAAACCTGAGGAGTCTGCTTGTTGACTAAATTGAGGATTATTAGCAATAAGTGCATTTGCAGTAGCACTTGTGTTGACTTGAGTAAATACAGTTGGCGAGGGAAGGATGTGATCTTGAAGCACCAAAATTTGTTTCCTACCATCAAGTCACAATAACAACGTGAACTTTTGGAAGAAATTATTGAAATTTAGGATTGGATTATTCTGCCCTTTTTTGGGAGGGTCCTTGAAGTGCTGAGGGTTTGGGGCTGAGCACTGTGCTGTTCCTGTCTGTCCTTGTGTTCCTGTGCCTGTCACCTGTGGAGTTTTGTGACTCTGGGAATTCCCTAAGCCCGGGTAGGAAGAGTTGGTGTCATGCTGTTTAAGCTTCAAACATCCAGTGAACTTCTTTCCTCCTGAATATTGGATTAATAAGCATTTTCATGGTAGTAAAAATAGGCGTGAGGGTGTTGATTATAATCAGCTGTTGTAGATTGTTAAAATGTGATTACAGTCTACAAAGAAACAGGAAAATAATTGTTCACATTGCATTGATCAAGCTGCATGAAGTGCAGAAGTACTTGGAATTGGGCAGAATATGGTAATTTGGGTATTTTCTGCCCACTGGACAGGGAGGATTGCATTTCACAGGACTGTGTAGTTGACGTAAGCACATGCTGTGTGCAATCCAGGAATACTGGGAATTGCATAAATGCAACTTCGCACTCAAATACTTCTTTTTGCAAGAAATACCTCAGGAACCAGTCGCTTAATTGCCTGGTTGTGACAAGGAAGACAAAGCTGAAACAGCAAAGTGCCTGAAAACTCAAATATTCTGCTGGAAAACTGGGCTGCACTGAAAGTTGGTGCCCTCCCAAAGGCATGCTCAGGAGCTGAGCTCTGCTGCTGTTGTGCAGGAGCTGCTGCCCGTGCCAGCTGAAAGAAATACATCTTTGATTTCGGGCAGTGTTGTCAGTGAATCCTCCGGAGCACGTTGGGAGCCTGGTCTGTCAGAGGCCACTGAATTTTGTCAGTGTTGGGGGTTGCATAACTCCTTTGTGAGTAATTACTGGCAGTGACGTGGATGACTCAGCTACCTAGTTGTGCATCTCCGAAAATCTCCACAACCCCGCGGTGTTACCTTAAGGAAAGAAAGTAAAAGTACTGCCCCTAATTTGAATGAAGTGCCGTCAGCCACTGCAACAATTTTAGAAAGACTTTTCAGAACAAGTTGCCTTTAAAAGAAAAAAAAAAAAAGTATGCGCATTAATGCTCTTAAAGGGAAAACAATGAGTGTCTTTATGCATTGAGAAGTGCTGCAATGCAATAATAATGATTTTCTGGTTTGGAATACCACTTTTAAAGGTAATTTTGGAAGTGTGCTGTGGTATTCTGGGCTCTAAGAGGAGCCAGTGGGCTGTTGCAGGTGGCTCACCTTGCTTCCTGCGGGATACTTTTGGAGAGAATTCACAATAACCCTAAATCCAAGGAATTATGTGATTTGTTAATTCATAATATATAGAATTTTGGTCTTTATGTAGATGTACTTCTTTACTACATTAAGAATAAAATTTGAAGTATGTTGTTTTCATCAAGTTTAAATCTTACCCTTTTCCAGAATTACCTGCCATTAAACATGATTTTGAGGCTGGCTGGTTTTTATACCCTTTGATTCTGGAGTTAAAATCATAAAGATCTCAAGTGCTTTGGTAGTTCAGTGATCCCTGTGCTTGGGGTCAGGTTTGTGTCTTGTCAGAGCTGTAACTAGTTTGAGGCACACGTAATTCTGATATCTCATAATGGGAAGGATCAAAATGTTCCCTTAAAACCAGTAATTATATGTGGCTGAAGGTTTGGTGTCCTGGCTGAATGTATGATTTATTTGCCATAGGAAAAGAGCTTTATAACTTTCCCTCGTAACTGATTATGGGTTTCAGTTTTTTTAATTTATTTTATTATAAGGCAGATTGTTTTATCTTCCTCTGTCAGTTGGTGTGTTAAAGAGTGCATGAGAATAGTGGAGAAGAGTTGGGGATGTTTCATAGGAAGATCATGTGTCTTTAAGCTTCAGTTTTGTTCACACTGACTTTTAGATATTTAAAAAAAAAATAATAGAACCCCTCACCTTTTTGGCTGTGCACAGAACCCTCAAATTCCTCAGAGCTATCCCAGGAATTACTCAGTAGGCCAGTGTGTTGCTAATTAAGTTAATGATTCAAACTCTCTATAAATGTAATTAAGAATAAATGAGGAACAAATGTAATCGTCCTAACAGGATTTTTGTTCAAAGGATTTGTTTTCAAAGTCTTTTCGAAATAATTGGGGTTTCCAATGTAAGCTTCCACTGGAATATTTTGAAATAAGTGTTTGAGGTGGTACTTCTGTCTGTGGGGAAGGGAACTGGTTAGTCCTGTGTTCATTTGGGAGAATTAAGGTGCAGGTCTGCTGTTGCTGCAGTGACTTCCCAAATGGAAGGAGGAACTGTGGAGGAATCAGGAGCTTTTGGTGATCCTTAGGTAGAATTTTACCCGTCTGAAGCCACCAAGATTTTATGGGAGTGAAATATGCCTTTCACTTCTAATAATTGTGCGATGATAAAATTCCCAGTTCCGCTTTTTCTAGAACATTTTTAATTCTGTTTGAATGCCTAAGTGAAGACCTGTAGGAACACGGCAGGATGAACCAGCTTTACACCTTCTCCTGCTTTTCCTTGTGGTTTGGCATTTTTGCTGACCTTTGGCTTCTTTCAGCCAAACCATCACACATTTACCACCTAAGTGGCCAAAACATCCTTAATATGGGGGGGGAAGAGGGTTCAAATCTTTGGTAACACTGGGATTCCTCTGTAATTATCCAAAGGAAAACATGTGCAATAGTAGGTAAGCCTTTTAGCAGCCCACAACGCCCTTTGGATATTCTCCCAAGGGAATGGGGTCTGGTCCTGGCTGGTCATGGGATCCAGGGCAGCTATTTAAATCAGGAGCAGTTGGGACTCAGAGCATTGGCTCCCTGAACCTGCACCTCTGGAAAAGTAAGTTCTTACCTGCCAGGTGGTCCGACCTAAGCTTGGAGCTCATCTATTGGCATAGTTTCTTTTGTTATTTTATATTAATCAACAATGTGAAGCACTTTCTGTGATTTCCTAAAGTTGCATTTGGAAAGATTGTCCCTGTTTGCTAAATGTCTGAGTTTCAGGTTGTGTTTTCATGGAAGTTAATATTTAAAATGTTCAGTTGGTTGTAGGACTTTGGCAGCACTGAACCGTAAAATGATTTGAGGATGAAGGAATCTCTTTAGAATCATAGCCTGGCTTCTTTAACTGTTCTCTTTACAGAGATCTGTGTTTCTATTGGTTAGTAAGAATTTAAGTTTTTGCATTCATAGATATTTAGTAATATAAGTAATTACTTAGAGGTCAAAATAGTTGTGTTCTACGTATGTTTGTGCATAAATATTCATGATTAAATCAGTAAAAGGAGTTGCACTTTGATTGAGGAAGCTGAATTTTCCCACCTCTGCTTTCCACAGAGGTGGGAAATAAGTATTAATTGTCACTTTTCTTTTTGCCTAATAAGGGGGACAGTGGAAACTTCTAGTCACTGCAACTTGTACAATATAAGTAATTGAACAGTAAAGATTTAATTTTTGCCATTGACTTTTTTTAATTGAATGACTAAAACTACTTGAGTTCCAACAGGTTTGTTGTGTTTTGTTACTTGTTTTTTTTTTCTTTCTTAATGGACAGTGACCAGGGTTCACAAAGAAATAAGGCAGAAGTGTAGTTGTTATATTAAGTAATAAAAGTAGATTCATGCCCTTGAACGTGAAATTCTTTGGAGTAAAAGTTGGCAGCTGTCCCAGTCTGTATCGGAAGAGAGAGACTGGGCAGGAAAAAACAAACACAGTCCAAGGAGCAACAATGAAGGGGAAAAGTGTACAATAGGAAATTGTTAATTAAGATGATTGCCTGCCATAAAAAATCCAATAGCTTACTGTATTTGATTTGCCAGCAGGTTGAAAGTATGGTTATATGGTGTGCTCAGGGACAAAACAGATCAAATAACACACTGATTTTTGGGTGCAAAACCCCATTCTTTGTGGCTGATTGCCTGTTTTGCTGTTTTCAGTGTATATACAGTTCTTCTGGCTGGAAGTGTTGGTTCCTGAGATAAAATGTAACAAAATTTGGAAAATATTAACCAGAAAGAAAGAAAGAAAAGGTGAAATGTGCACTAAATTTGCTTCAAAATAAAGTCCTTGAATGACAAATGAGGATCTTGAGTGGAAACCCCTTTTATTACTAGGTCCAGTTAAGTTTTTTGGACAGTTTTGTTGGGTCTCACATGAATTCACACTTGAGTGTAATCTCCTGATACTGTGAAAAGAAATTACATGGCATCATCTGAAGTGAGGTTGGAGGTCAGAGCTGGGCTGAAATTTGGTGTTTTTTTGTGATATATTGAGTTAATTCACACAGTAACAAGGCATAGTGGGTGTCTCACCCCTCCCAGCATCTAGTTTGGAAAAATAAATATTTGGGCGAAAAAAGGAAATAAATGATGTCAATTTGTAGCACTGGGTTCTCAATTCAGGGTAATGGGTGAGTGATTTTAGGCCTATAGAAATAAGGGGGGTAATACAGGAGAGATGGATGATGAACATGGGTTGAACATACCAGGGCTTGGTTAAACTGGCTGAGGATAGAATCCAAAAGTAAGTGCCGGTGTCTTGACGCAAAAATTAGAGATTTAATTTTATCAAAGTCATTAACTTATGAATTAGCTGTTAAAAGCTCCAGTTAAAATCAGGAGTGTGTAGCAGCAGTGGCAGTGGTTGAGGTTTGCTGGGGTGGTACCAACCTGCCTCTCCAGCCCTTCCTGTTCATCCACATTTGGGGGTTGATTTAAATAGGGGCATGGTCTGGGTGGCATTTCCAGAGTCTCTGTGGTCCTGTGTTTTACCAATTCCCATATTTTGGTATCTTAGGCAGGGATTTTAGATAAATTCAGAAGTACAACAACAACAAAAAAGTCATTACCCAGTCTAAGAACTTAATGGTTCAACTTCGTATTTCAGTAAAAAAATATTGTTTGAATTTCCTTCTGTTATTTCTGATATTTTGGGGTGAGGTCTGTGCCACATAAAGGTAGTGATGCTGAACAATTCACATATAAAGTAGCAGGTTTTACTAGCAAAATCCATAATGGGATTCATCCATTTTTGTCAGGTATTTCCAGTTTTTAATTAATGCTTTGCATGTCTGAGCAGAGCACATCCTTCATATTTCTGAGGTTTGGTATTTTTTTACAGTTTCAGCATTGAATTGTTTGTTTCTTAGGGAGAGCTTTAACTTTTAAACTTTTTGTTGCAACTCTGGACTTGCTGTTTTCAAAAAGACTTGAAATAGCTTGTGAATCTTTTCTCTTCAAACTTCAAATTAATTTTCATCAGAGATTTTAGGGTTTTAGGTCTCTGAAAAACATCTGTACACAAACTTTGTGCATAACAGGGATTTTAAATGAGTGTCATCTTGTATGGATGGTGTCTATAGCTTTTAAAGAAGGAATTTTAAACTAATTCCAATTAAATAACACTGACATAATAATAATTATAGCATTTACAAAGGGATATGCTAAATGATACATAAGGGAGATGCTAAATATAACTACTGAGTAGTAGTGTTTGTTTGAAACTACAGTTTTAAATTAGAGCAACAAGAACATGAGTTTTCACTTGTGTGCTCTGAAATGTAAATTGGTCAAATGGGGAACTCTGTTAATTTGAAATTGTTGTGTTTTAATGTTGTTTTTTTTCTTTCTTTTTTTCTTTTTCTCCTTCCCCTCTCCAGCTAAATGGCCTTAAAATGGCAGATGAGCCCATGGAGGAAGGTGAACCATATTCCTACCACGTAAGTGTGTTTGGTATCTGTTCACTTCAGACACTCAGTAGCATAACTTGCTTTGGAAATAAAATTTATGCGTTCCCTGCTCTCTAATAACTTTTGAACCCCTCATTTTCTTTGACCAAGATCTGAAGAGACTCTTCAGTCTCAAAGATGATTTTGGAAATTAGTACTTGGGTAGAGGCTTTAAGTGACTTGTTTGGGAAAATCTGCTGCGTGAGGCAGAGCTTTATGGAAAGATTCCGTGTGCTGGAGAGCCTCAGAAAATGCTCAGGCCACCCTTGAACCGTTTATACAGATGCTTCATGTTGCTCTTGCTACACTGTCATCTGCTCTTCCTTTGTGTTTTTAATACATTCAGACCTCAAAGGTCCTTAATTCCTGCTGTTTTAGAACAGAATTAATTTTTACACCAGTATGTTAATTTTTGCTTTTATGGAGAAATACCCCAGATAAGCCCTACTGAGCATGATTTTTGTCCAGTGCCTCGGTGATGTGTGTGTTTGGGAGATGCTGAAGGTGAGTGTTCTGTGTGCTGGCTAAACCTGGGACTAAACTTCACACTGATCCTGCGTGTGGTGAAACACCCGACTTTGCAAGGAGAAATTGGACATCGTTTTTCAACACAGCCATCCTGATGTTTTTGATCAAAATCATAAAGAGGGTGTCAGCTATCTCCTGCCCAGAGAGGTGGTGAACTCCCCATCCCTGGAAGTGTCCAAGGCCAGGTTGGATGGGGCTTGGAGCAACCTGGGCTAGTGGAAGGTGTCCCTGCCCATGGCAGGGGGTGGCACTGGATGAGCTTTAAGGTCCCTTCCAACCCAAACCAGTCTGGAATTCTGTAAGTAAATCTTATTGCCAGCTGTAACCACTGCTTTGTGTTGCAACAACTTTTGTAAGTAAGGGATTTGGAGAATAAACTCTTGGGGATAGAGCCAGGTGGTGCCTGGACATTTCCTGGTGTGCAGCAGTAAATAAACAGTGTCAGAGCTGCCTCACATGCAGCAGGGAGAGCTGAGCACTGGCTTGTCTGTCTTTTCTGTCTTTCACTGTTCTTCAACCAGGAGCAGGATGTTGCTGAGCTTGTTTGTCGGGTGCTGGAGCCACATCCCAGAGAGGCTGTAACAAGTCAGGTGGCACAAAGCCACCCGGTGTTCCTTTGAGCACTTTGGCTCCTGGAGAACCTGCTGGGAATAGTTCCCTCTGGTGCAAGGCTCGGTGGGAGCTGGTACCTCAGCTCAGAAATAATCTGCTGCTCGAGCAGCAGAGCACAGAATCAGATAACCAAATCTTGCAATTTGTAGAGGCCAGACTAGAAATGAAAATGAAACTGGCTGGTGGCTGTTCAGCTCTTTATCTGCTCCGTTCTTGTCGAGGTCTCTTTATACTTCAGTCAGGCCAGTTTTTAGTACCTTAATGCTGGTTAAGTAGGTGAAATTACATAGACATCTTTTGTGAAGGTAAAACACTTTTTATAAGAAAATAACTCGTTTCATCCATCTCAAGTTAGTCTTTATTTGCATGGAAAACATTTTTCTCCCGAGTTCACATTCAGAAATACTCTCAGTCTCCGCAGCAACCACGTGTGATGTCACAGGCTAATGACTCGAGGTGGGTGATAAACACCGGAGAGGGTGAGCTCTTAATGATCTTTTCTCATGCAAAGGTTCCCAGTGTTTAGGAATACAAATTAGGATGGTGAAGAAAAAAGGCTTCTAAATAGAGTATTTACATATTTCTTAGGAAGAACCAGCCATTAAGTCTGTTGTACAACTTGGTGTATAATTAGACAACTTGCTGCTTTCATCAGGTGACTTGAATTGCTGCTGTTCTTACCTGCCTTAAATTAGGCAGTGTTTAAAAAAATAGATGAAAATGAAAAGATAGGTGCATCTTTGCTCTGACTACATATTTGCATAGTCACCAAGATGGATGGAGGAGATGAAGGTGGGACATTTGCCCTGGATCTTCAGTGTTTGTCAGCTGGGTTTTGTGACCAGAGAGGGAAATAAAGTAGTTTGGAGTGTGACTTAGAGAATTAACGTTGTTTCCAGCAGTGCCTTGTGTTCAAACCTACCTTTGTGTGGGAAGCAGGCGGAACAAACAGGCCTTTCCCAGAAAGAGAGTGAAATAAGAGATAGAGGGGAGGGGAAGGACTCCTGTGCTGGACTACACTCTGTGAATACACTAAGATGTGTTTGAACTCTTTCTTTTTCCCTCTGGACAAACAAAGCAATTAAGGCAGAGGCAGTTAATGCAGTGTGATGATTGCCTCTTTTTTACCTTTAATTATTGCAGTAAGTATGGATGAATTTAGGTGATCTGATTTCTAGGCTGAATTTCTGTGTAAACCCACTTAGAGAATTTCATCCAGGTGCTTCTGTATCAAGCCCGAAAAAGCTGATGATGAGTTTTAATTCACAGTCTTGGGCAGCAAGACTTTCTATAGTCAACCTGACTATAGAAATGTTATGTAGAATGAATATAGAGTGATGTTCTTTCTGAAAAGCAAGCCTTTCATCGAGTGGTCAGGACTTTTTCTGGTGCTGTTTGCACTTGTCATCCAGGGACAGTAACACACAGGAGGTTGGTTGGGTGTTTCTCTGGGTCTCTGCTAAGAGAAGCTGTCAAGATGAAGACCTTAAAGAGAGGTTAGGAGACAGCTGATAATAATTTGGATGCCCCAAAGGTGAAGTACTGCAAATCAGGTGGGAGTTTTTTTGTGATTGGGTTGTGTAGAAGAAGTTTGTTGATATTCTGTATAGGGCTGAGAGGTGCTGTTCCTTCTCTGTGCAAGCTGTTGTAGGTCTTAGCACGTAATTTTGAATTTCAAGGGTGCTTATTTTGCCATCTCACTCGTTTTGGCTCCCAGCAGCTTCTCTTACACCATAAAAGCTGCAATACATCATCAGATTTGTTTTCATCATGAATATTTGTCTTTGCACAACTGGAGCTGCTTTGCTCAAGATGAGAGGGACATGGAAAAGTCAACAGAACATTAAATCACTCACCTACCTCAGAATTACCCTCCTGAAGGAGGTCTCCACACAGGATAATCTTCCCAGGAGCTCTGCACCCAGAGCTGTTCTTCTCTTGGGTGCAAGAATTCTCAGAGTCTTTAAGATGACTCACATTTTATTTATGGTCTCCAAACGATGCGTGTTCCTCAAGCTACAAATGGATGGCCAGAGTTATTATTTGCTGCCGTGAAAAGCAATAATTACCCTAAATGATGAAATTCAATTTGGCTTTCATTAAGACTTATTTCAGGAAAGGGAAAGATGAGAAGAGTAATCACTGGGAAAACTAAGGGCTGCTGAAGAGAAGTGAAGCACAGAAGTCTTGGTTGAAAAATCTGTACATTTATCCCTGTCACGGAAAAAAAAAAGGCATTTTTGCTGTAGCTGAAATATTTCTGGCAAAAGGAAATGGGCATTCTTTGAGAATTTTGTTTCAGTTTAGAAAATTTAGATCCATCTATTTAAGAAAGGATGGATGGGAAAACTCTTCATTTGAACAGCTTTCTTTTATGCCTTGTTAGAATTTCAAATCTTTTATTAAGATAAAACCAAACCAAGAGAAAACCCCAAGTATTTACATGCTCTTCTAGCAAGAGTTGGTTAATCCAGGCCTGTTCACTGTTGTATTTTGTTTGCTTTGAAACAACAGGATGAAGGAAGCGTGAAAGAAATTCCTATTACACACCACGTGAAAGAAGGATGTGAGAAAGCAGATCCAGCACAGTTTGAACTACTTAAAGTTCTTGGACAGGGATCATTTGGAAAGGTAAGATGATAAAATAACCTGGGAAACATATTTCAGGTTTTTCATTTTGCTGTGTCTGTCAAGTGATCTGCAGCTTAAAGACACTAAGTGAACAATTATTCAAATAGCAAAGAGAAGAAATATGGCAGCTTTGTTACAATAATTTCTTTCTGTAATGTGCCACTTGGTGTCACATTGCAGAAATGAAATCTAATATCTCAGTCACTAGTTTGAAACAATAGTAGTTGAAATATTAATCCAAGTGTATAAGAAGGTAATTTATTTTTTAAAACCAGACTCAAACTAGATCTTTTGCAGCACATACAAAGTAGTCAGTCAACTTTACATATGTTTCCATATTCCTTTTCTTCTGCTGGTTCTGTTTAAGCAGGAACAAACCTCTGCATGGAACTGAATGAGAGAGGAAAACACCAGACATTAGGAAGACATTCTGTCTTCCTAATAATAAGTGGTATTGTAGAATAAGTGGTAGTGTAGACTTTTAAATATTTCTTAATGTTTTACAGCTTAAGAAAACATTTCTTTATCTGGTAATGTTGGTTGCCAACCCCCTCATACACTTCTCACTGTCAGAACCTAAAAGGCCTCTTATATTTATTACTCCTGAGTTGAGATGTCCTAAGCTGTCTTAGGGTTTAGCACATCTTAGCCCTGACTCAGACAGATTTTACTTCCCAGAGTTCAGGCTTTTGAAACCTGGCAGTGCTTGGCTCAGGAACCAGCTTTAGGAGCTGGGTGGTGACTGCACAGGGATCGTTTTATCTCTGTTGCTTTCCATTGGGAAGAGAAAACAAACAGGGAAGATCAGTGGCTGTTGCCTTCATGGTGTTTTGTTTTCCCTTTCCAGTTCCCACTTCCCAGGGCCCTTCCTTTGGGTTTGGCAAACACCAGCTTGATTTGCTGCAGCCTGGTTTTGACATCAGGGCAGGATTCAACACTTGCACAGAAATAAAGGGTTAAACTTGTCCACCACTGAATTTCTCTCTTCATCCTTTGATAACTTTCCAAGGCAGATGTGGGGTTGTGGAGACTTGGTCTGCAAATTAAACAAATCAGTGGTGCTTCAGTTGTTTTCAGTGGCAGCTGTTTTGGGCCTTATCAGCTAAAATTTGTAACTTGTACATGAAGTCCTTACATCCTCACAAGCTGCTAGTTATTAAGCACTAAAATATTTGTATGTGCTTACTATTAATATTTACTTTTATAACTGTGATTGTGTTCATCTACAGATGTTTTCTTAGTTGCTGGTGTTCAAATTATTCCCTTTATTTGAGCATCATGACCTAAGAGGAGAGCAGTGCTGTAGGTCAGTCATTGGGCAAAACTTCATAGAACAAAGGACCTGATAACCTTGAAATATGATGACATTTTTCTTCTAACCAGAGCTTAAAACAAAAACAACCCTCTCCCAACCCTGTCCAATTTAGTCAGTGACAGTGTTTGAATTTCTGATTGTAGAAAAATGGAAAATTTGACAAGATTATGTTAAAAATACATACAATTTTTAGATAGTTAATAATTTCTAACAAAGTATATGTGTCAATAAATCCAGTGTTAATGAAAGTCTGAATAAGGTGAGATCAGAGAGGCAATTTTGGGGAGCTCTTGACTCTCTCTTGTGACTTGTACATTGTTTTTTACAGCAGAAACATTCCTCTTAACTAATAATTGCTCTTAAAAAGAACAGCAGTTTAAGAACAGAAGCACCTACCAAGCCATTTTGTCAATTGAAAAACCCAGGATTTTGAATATTGGTAGAGATTCCTCTATTTGGAATGTGTTATTTTATCTCATATTAGGCTTTTCTTAGTGTCAAGTTATGTTCCATCTATCTTTAAAACTCTCCTGGAAAGAACAGAGTGGAAAAACCTGTTGGAGTTGCTATTCCAGAGGGAAAGAGTGCTTTGATCTTAAATGATGAGGTTTCCTTGCTTTCATCTCACCACTTGTACAGAATTCATTAATCAAACCCGTTCCATGTTTGAGACTTTGGGTCTTAAACCACAAAAAAAATCTCTTGGGACGTGGCAGAGGAGCCAGAATTGTCCTTGTCCAAGAAAATGATAGAAAGAAACAAATTTCTCCAAATGATTATTTGATAAATAAGGAAAGAATCTGTAGTTTCTGACCAGTGTGATAATTCAAAGAGCTTGGTGCTGCTGCAGCTCTAATCTGATTAAGGAAATGCAATTTTGCTCTTCCTTGAAGGTGTGTGCTCAGGAAAGAACACTGAAAACTGCCTGGAATTAATAGGGGCTTTGCAAATGCTTTGTGAAAGTTGATATTTGATTACTCAGCTTGCAGTAATTTTAAAAATGGGCTTTATCTTGCCAGGTCTTCCTTGTGAGGAAGATAATTGGTCCTGATGCTGGGCAGCTTTATGCAATGAAAGTATTGAAAAAAGCTTCTTTGAAAGGTATGTGTGTGTCTGCATTGAAACTTGAAAACATGGCTTTCGGTGCACCTGTATTTTAAAAGGTTTCTTTAATCTGAAATGTTTGTCAGTGAGTTCATACCAGTAGCTTTTTTCCAGGCTGACTTGTGAGTTCATGTTTAAGAATTATTTTAAACCTGGCCAGGTAGCTTTAATTATGTGGTCAAAAATACTCTTTCAAAGTATTAAATTGCATTATTTAATTCTGGTTAGGTTTTTTTCATTATGTGAAAACAAATTAATTTCATAAACAGTTCTCCTTTTGTCTTTTTGTTATGTTCAAACTTTGCTGTGGTCAAAATTCGGTCATTCCCTCTTGTTCTGGGAGCCAGAGCCAGGAGTGTTTTGGCTTTCAGGAGACACTTTAATGGGTGCAGGTCCACTGTGTGTGAATAGGGACTGTTATAGTTGAAGAGGAAAAAGTATAAGAAAATATATATTCAGTACAGATAGTTCAGAAGTTGATGCTGAAATCTAGATGGGAGCTTTTTTCCTGGGAAGTAATGTGGATTATCACCAAGTACTGGGATGTACTGGGAAAATGATGACAATGAGGAAGCTGCAGCAGGGAAGAAAATAGAGTTTTGAGTGTGCTTTGAGGAGACTTAAACATTAAAAAGAAATAAGGTGCAAGGAAAGATACTCCTTTAGACAGCAGAGCCTTTCCACGTGCCCATTTCTGCTCTGTTTGTCTTGTACCAAATACATTTGTTTCATTCTGGTCTCTTCTTTTCTTCTCGCCCCCAGTTCGGGATCGAGTTCGTACGAAAATGGAGAGGGACATTTTAGTAGAAGTAAATCATCCCTTTATCGTCAAACTGCACTATGGTGGGTATATATATTTATTTTTCCTGTGCTACACTTCCTTTCGTTACTTGAAGGCACGACTGCTCTTGTTCTTCCTCATTTTTTTGTAGGGTCCAAGTTAAGTTCCAGTAACTTGAAATCACAGGGCTTAAAAAAACAAAAAAAGGAATGTAAATGCACACCTGCATAAAAGTTTTAGGTGAAGTTCTCCTGAAGTTAAAGATTTGGCAAATTCTTACAAATTCAGCAGAGATTTTTTTTTTTTTTTTTTGCTTTTCATTGAGTAAAACGAAACCAGAGTAATTAACATCCTTGCTGTTTCTCTGTTTGACAGAGGAGAAATGAAAGAGCAGTATTTTAATCATCTCTCATGACTAAGATTTTCTTCTGTGAAGAAGTGAGGAATCATTCAATAAATTACCTCATGTGCCACTGAATTATTTCAGCTCCATAACAAAAGTATTGCCTGTGACTGAGATTTCCTGGTTGTAAATCACTCAGATCTATTTTGTAGATCAGCTTTGTCACACAACTATTGATTTTTATTCTCTTTTTTTTTTTTTAAGCCTTTCAGACTGAAGGGAAGCTCTATTTAATATTGGATTTTCTCAGGGGAGGAGATGTATTCACACGATTATCCAAAGAGGTAAGTACCTAAAATTTTATCTCCACTCTACTCTTAGACAGAGGTTGTTTTTTCTTGGTGTGGGATTACCTTTTAAAGCCGTTTCCCCCCATATTTCTTGTCACACTCAAGTTTTTATAACTTAGTTGGGCTTTCCTACATATTCTAGAATATATTCTGTCCTTAAGAAACCTGAGTGTGTATTGATTAGTAGCCTAAGTTTTAATTTGGTATCTGCAAAGTACAGTTCTTTTGTCTAAAAATGTTTTGTTGCTTGGAAACGTAACTGAAGTAAATGAATATTTAGCACTGAAGAAAGGGGATATTATAGTTCTCCTGCTCTTAGTCAGCTGAGGTGCTCCTGGAATCCTGCAGCCCTGGGAGATTTCTGCTGCACTGTAAAATTTCACGGGGCTGGAATACAAATCCTAATCCTTAATCCCACAAAATGTGAACATGGAGTGATTTGCAGCCCCCTCTTCTCCCCCAAACTCTCACACACAACTAGACCTTGAATTTTTCATTTCTCTTTCTGTTTTCTGGAGAGAATCCTCAGAGGATGGAATGTGATGCAGCCTGCTGTTATTTTTTTTAAACATTTCCCATCAAATATTTATCACATGTTACCATAAGTGTTACGAACATGTTGAGAGGACTTTTATTTTCTTTTTGCAAACCTTTTATAGAGATCTAAATTTTTAATGGCTCAACAGCTACACAGCAAGAGAACTTTTCAGTGTTTTCACTGAGCTTTTCAGTGTAAATCCACTTATATTGCTAAAGCACAGGAAAAGCCACTTTCTTAGATGAGAAAACAATGTTATCTGACAGATTTTTTTTTTTTTCCATGGCACGAAGGAGGTTGTTTATCCCCAGAATGTGAGGTCATGAGATAATTTGGGGTTTTTTTCCCATATACTTTCTGTAAAAAATAAAGATTTTACTTTAGGAACAGGCAAAAGAGAAGGAAGAATTTAAAGGGATTTTTGGGTTTAAGTTTTATAAGAAAGCTGAGCTTGGTAAACAGTGATAATGTCTAAGAATTGAGCTCAAAAATAATTAATCTTTAGGCTAAAAATAGCTGTTAAAAGCTTCAAGTGGCCAACTTGTCAAAGGTTATTGGAGCAGTAGGTAGGAAAGAGGTCAAGCTCTGTTGAGTAATTATAGAGGAAATTCTGGTAGAGCAGGAAGAAGAGTTCTCTTGCACCAACACAGCTGGGATTATCCAGAATGCAACTGAGTTTAAGAGTTACCTAAGGGATGTAAGTCTGTCCATCATAACACTTGCTGGGGGTTGAAAGAGGTTCCCTTTGGGAATAAAGAAATCCTAATTGTCAACTTTTCTCACTGCTGAGGCTCTATGTGGGTTTTTTTGGAAGACTTCAGTTACCTTCTGTGATGACTTTTAAATATTTACTGTGTGCCTAGATATAAAAAAATCAGGTTTTTGTATTGTGGTGGGAAGACAAGGTGATTTCCAGAGTCCAATGGGCAGTGCACATGAGAGGAAATTCCCCATAGCATTTCACAAGGGTTATTTTAAAGGAATTTGGTTTCCTGTGATGTTATTGAAAGACTTTGGTCTTTAAACTCCAGCGTGGGTACAAGAGCTTCAGCTGTGGGAGTGAGACGAGTGTGTAATGAAGTTTTTATTGGTGATGTTTAATGAAGTTGACTTGCATCACGTTTAATTTGACACAAGGAACAGCTTTAAATGTCATTATTATGGGGAGATGGGAGATTGCCCTTTAGCATCATTGTATTCTGAGATTTGCATTTTGGCTGCTCCAAGGAGTAATGCCATCCAAGGAGTAAGGACATTACTCTTGCTTTTCTGATGCAGATGCAAGCCAGTATCCAGAGCGCTCTGCAAAGAAATCCAGGTGCCACTGTGTGGTGTAACAGCTTTATTGTTCCTACAAGGTTAACCCCTGTCATTATGGAAATGAGGGAATATTTCTGTGCCCCTGGACCAGATTACATATGTAAAATTCAAAGTACAGATCAGGGCAGCTCTAAATCAGGGAGCTCAGGGACTTTAATTTAAGCCTTGTTAGGCAGCTCCTGTGCAGCAGAGTGGCTGCACCTCTTACTCCTGCTGCTTTCAACAAATAAGGGAATATTTCACTTAAACCTCACATTCAATCCAGTAATTTAAAGATTTCAAGGTTCTCCAGTAATTTGTAGAACATGACAAGAGCCAAAGCAGCTACAATTTCTGTGTATTAAATTAGAAGCAACCTGTGGAGTATTTGGAAGGGCATCTCTCTGGTGCTTTATAAGCAACATCAGTTTTTCAGTGTCTCACCAGGGTTCTTGAATTTTATTTTTTTTCCTAAGAGCAGAGCAGGTTCTTCAACTCCCACTGCAAATTGTCATTGTTATTTTTAGCGGTGTTTTGGTTTTGCATGCTTTTTTCTCAATTATTTCTATTTTTTCTGTCCTAAATATTGTTAATGTGAATTCACAGTCACCCAACACAGCAGCTAAATCATTAAATTTTATGATGCAGTGGAAAACTCTCTTTTTAGGATTGTGCCAGAAGGAGTGCTGGTGGTTAATTACACCAAATATAACAATTAAATTTATTACCTAAAAGTTAACTAAAGCTCTGCAGTAACTGCTGATGTTATTATTTAAATATTACAGGTAGTTCTTTGTGTAGTTTATAATTAACCTGTATTAGTAAATAATTTCTCTTGGGTGAATTCATGAAGTAGGAGACTGATTTTGAAATTTAGGCAGACAGGACTATATTTTTTTTAGATTGCAGTTTTAAAAACTGAAGACAAGATCAGAAGGTAAATCTATACAGTTCTTATTAGGTTATGTTTACAGAGGAAGATGTGAAATTCTACCTCGCAGAACTGGCCCTTGCTTTGGATCACCTTCACAGCTTGGGAATTGTGTACAGGGACCTGAAGCCAGAAAAGTAAAGTAAAATGTATTTTACCACTCNTTTGCTTGTTGCTTTACGTTTTCCACTGTAGTGATGTCAAAAAATTAAATACATTTTTTGTTAGACTATGTAAACAAATATAAAATATAAAAAATATATTCTTTAAATTAAATAATATTCACTTATTAAAGTAATAATAGAAGTTTGGATATAATTTTTTTAACTTCTATTTAAAATAACTCTATGTAAACATTACTCTTTATGTGTTTTGGTGAATGTGAATTTTAATTTTCAGCATTTTGCTTGATGAAGCAGGACATATCAAGTTAACAGGTAGGCAACACTCATTAGAACTTTCTGAACATCTTTCTGCATAAGCTTTTTTGTGTGTTTTTGGATTATCACTCTGAAATACATATAAAAACGCAGGAAAAGAGTTCTATGAGGAAAATTAAAATAGATCTATTGTAGGAAGTGATGTAAACAAAAGATGTGAATTTCTAAAAGCTTTAAATTACTTTTAAGGTGATGCTTTTGTCCTGTAGATTTCATTATATTTTTGGATCTAAAATATTGCTGTTAGATTCCAAGAGAAAAGGAAATTTTGTAAACTCTCAAAGATTTGATGGAATAATGGTGATATTTATGAAATTCTGCATGGATCTGTTTAAATTTAATTTAGTCTCAAAGTTCTCTCTTCCTTCTGCAACTGGAAATGATAATGGATTATTGATTAACAATATTTCCCCTATGAAAAAAGGGATATTTAAGAGACTCAGCGTGAGAGCTGAGCCAGTATCAAGAACTTCTGTGTTCACTGGCAGGAAAAAAAGGATTCTGGGAATTAAGGAGCAGATATGCAACACTGTTCTTTACTGAACTTGAGTCAGGTTGCAGAACCATGTTGGCTTATGTAACAACAATATTTTTAGTCAGATTTTACTTATTCATCATTCAGTAATACCAGACCATGCAGGGTGTGTTCCCTCTGAAACTCTTTTTTATTTCTGTCCAATTTTTTTGTGTGAATAAAGGAGGCAGTAGACACAGAAAAAGGGAACTTTTGGTTATCTTAAGGCTCTAAATGTGTAATATTTCAAATATCAAGTTATTTCAGTAATAATATTGGTGGCTGCTTGTCCATTTAATGACTTAGAGAACAGTTTTGGTGATATGTAGTGAACTAATGTCTGTGGTATCTCTGGATATATGCTGGTTTTTTCCCTGAAATTCTTTACTGGCTGTGTTCTTGTGATGCTGTTGTTGTAGACTTTGGACTCAGCAAAGAATCAGTAGATCAAGAGAAGAAGGCCTATTCTTTCTGTGGTACTGTAGAGTACATGGCACCTGAAGTGGTAAACAGGAGAGGGCACAACCAGAGTGCTGACTGGTGGTCCTTTGGGGTCCTCATGGTACTGTGCTTTTGCTTCCCTTCCTAAGGTCACAAACACTGCATTGCTCTGAGAGAATGTGGTTTAATGCACTTAGAATAAGCTTGTCCAGTTTTAATTATCAATGCTTGGGCAAGGGGGTGAATTCAATGACTGAATTGCCACTGTAATGGCAACTTGTTTGAATAAAATTGACTTTTCGCCTGCTTAGCTCTGTATGGAATCCTTACCAGGCACCATAAAGCTCATGTGTGCCTTCCAGACAGGGAAGTGCCACTTTGTGTATTTATTTTGCATGTTACTTGATAGTTAAGGGAAAAAACCCATACTTGAAGCCTTGGTTTGAAGGAGTCTGAATGGCATTTTGAAGAGTGAGCCTGTGGAAGGAATGCTGGAGTGGAGCAGGGGAATAAGTAACTGCTCCCACTTCTGCCCTTGCTGGGATGCCTCAGAGCATCAGGCTGACAGGTGCAGATTGGCATTAAAAGTAAAGTACTGTTCTAGTATTTATTATTCTTGCAGTTTTTAAAACATGGCAACGTCTGAAACTTGGTTCTGGAGGAGATTTTCTTGCCTTCAAGTGGCTTATAAATGGGTGTAAAATGTTCCTCCATCGTCATTAGGTCACCTTGCCACTGTTACCATCATGTAACTGCCTGGGAGGATTTTAGATTTGTGGCATTTTGATAATCTTTTCGAAGCTCAGCCTAATGTAGAGATGATGTAGGGAAGAGTACAGTGCTTAACACTTTGTTTCAGCAGCTGGGGGAAGAAGTGTTGATTGAGATGAACATTTGTTCTTTCCAGTTCGAGATGCTCACCGGGACCCTGCCGTTCCAAGGTAAAGATCGAAACGAAACCATGAATATGATACTGAAGTAAGTACCTCTTCTTACTCTTTGGGAAGTCACAAAATGTAATTTTAGACATGTTTTAACAGCTTGTTAGAACTCATTGGGCAACCTGGTCTAGTGGAAGGTGTCCCTTCCCGTGGCAGGGTTGGAACAAGATGGTCTTTGAGGTCTCTCCCAGCCCAAGCCATTTTATGATTCTGAGAGTGTACAGTTAAAACAGGAACAAAAAAAATCAAAGCCCCCTGATAAGGTGTAGGTCCCAGATCATAAATACCATTAAGTATCTACAGCAATTAAAATCTTAGAGATGAATTAGTTTCCATTGTAGGTGTGTAATAAAGATAAGAAGGGTACAGTGAGTTAGAGCAGCATTATTTGCACCCCTGTTGTTGTACTCCCTTGCCACTGTTACAGCACACCTTGTTTTGTAAGCAGCAGGTGATGAGGTGTTGCTTTGTGTGTGGATGGATGGAAGGCACTTAGAGGCTCTCAATTCTCATCATAAATTGCCTCAGTTACAACAGAGGCTGTTGAGCCAGACAGACTGGGTGAACTGGTGCTTAGTGAGCGGAGCTGTTGGGCAAATATGTTCTTGTCTGTGTTTGTGCTCAGCTCACAGTTTCCCCCAGAGCACATGAGAGCCTTGGGCCTTTGAGGGGGTGATGGGGAAGGGCAGGAGGGAGAAACTTCATTCCCTCAGTTGGAGCTTGCCCTGAGTGTGGGTTTCTATGTTGCATGTGTGAAGGGATGGATTAGAGCACGAGCTGCCCCACTTGCAGCTCCCAAGTGGTGCTGCAGTTCTGCAGAGGAATTTCTTGCCTTAGCATAATAGTTTTCATGAAATAAAATAAATGGTAAAGTCAGGGAGCTTTTATATGATGACTCAATGAGCTACTTGAGGCCCTTTGCTTTAAGAGGAATAGTAGCACTCACTTCAGGGCAAGTAACTGGGATTTGGTGACACTCTTCTGGTGTTGATTCTGGTGATATGAAAGTATCTTTGAAAATATTTAGGTATTCCTGAAATAATTCTTTTACTCTGCTTTAGCATAAAGCTTGCTTGGGGGGCTCGGTGGTTTTGGTCTGACATGTTCTTTCTTTATTGTTTCTTTTAAACCACACATATAATGTGAAACTTAAAAGTTGACGAGTTAAATACATGCACTCTACAAGACTGAAGAGTAGATCCTTGATACATCAAACTGTTCAGTTAAAATCTGTGTAGACAGGTTTTAGTAAAATATATTCCTTTCTCTTACTTGTTCTCTGGTTCTTTTTAGAGCAAAGCTTGGGATGCCTCAGTTCCTCAGCCCTGAAGCACAGAGTCTTCTGAGGATGTTGTTTAAAAGGAACCCATCAAATAGATTAGGTTGGTTCATTTATTTGGATCCTTAAATAACTCAACCCAACTACTTTCATTTCAGGCTCTGGCTGATGAGTAATATTTGGGTTTAGATCCCATTTCTTAGCTTGGATCATGACTTCTGGGTTTGGTAATGAATGATCAGAGCTTGGATCAGTGACTCTTGGTGAGCTTTGGCAGTGTCAGAGCAAAGAATATTTACTCTGTGTTTGTGAGGTTCTTGTATTGTGCCTCCCTGATGAGGTGTACTCTACTAAATCCCATCCTTGGGATATTTCTGTATTTACAATTCATTCAGATAACCACATCTGGGCGGATTTTTTAGAAATGAACCAATTTTTAGTGCAATCTTCAAAGATTTACCCGAAAGTGTGTTAAATACAGTATTTTCTCTGTTCAGGAGCTGGTTCAGATGGAGTGGAAGAAATCAAGAGACATCCTTTTTTTTCTACTGTTGACTGGAATGTAAGTACAAAATGATCTGAATGCTAAAGCCGTTGTTAATTTTCCTGTGTGTTGTAGCATTGTCGGTATTTGCATGTGAATAGGGCCCAACAAAGTGCAGCAGTGCTGACTGTCACATCCTGGCTGCTGCTCTCATCTTCCTTGGCATCTGGAGCTGGTGTATTTACGGTACAGAGACTATTAATTATGAATTGGGCATTTAATTTTTAAATAATTAAGAGTTGCAGCTTTCTAAAGCTGAAGTTGTCTGTTAGAGCATTTGTAGCTGGGAGAGGATGCTGGTGTTCCCTCTGGGCAGGAATCTTCCTCTGCAGTGTCTGTCTGGTGCTTCCCTGTAGGGCACAACTCCCTGTAATTCTCTTGGATTTCTCTCCAGTTGCCACAGCACATCCCTGTTTTATCAGTCAGATCCCATTCCCAGCTGGAATATTGACTCTGGTGCTCTGAGATGACCCAAAGTCTGTACGAGATCACAACTCTTGCTTAAATTTTTAACAAACACCTTATGATTTTCCTCTTTGGTTCTCCCATCTTTTGAGATGTGTTTCCCAGAAACATTCTCAAAAGCAAGATGCTCCATATCAAATAAATCCCCTCTGAAAACCCTCCTTTGCTGTAATTCCTACAAAAGGGTAGATGGAATAAATAAGATGTTGCTGTGCTGGCAGGACTATCAGGCCAATGCTGTGCTCACCTATTTCTTTTTCTTATCCTTCTCTTTTTCTCTTGCATTTATTTCTGAAAAGGTGGTTTTATTTCTGAAAAGCTGTGTTTATGCAGAATCCACCAACAGGAATTTTCAGTAACAGCAAAACTTCACTGGTTTCTGTGAATACACTTTATAAATTGTTGTCTTGTTTTGGCTTGAATATCTACTTACTTTTATCTTAAGGGACTGATGTTGAAATAAATACCAGCAGTGAAATTTGAAAGATCTGCAGTTCTAGCTTTCTTTTTTCTTCATAATTCTTTTTAAAAGTAGAAAGTAATTTGTATTTATTTCATTCTGGTGGTGTTGATGACCACTTCTGTATTTTATTTCATTTATTTCATTATCTCTCTGGGATGAATTTAGGTTCCTCTTCCTTGGTGATTTTTGTGATGTTTGGTTTGCTTTCTTTTTTTTAAATTGAGTTATATTCTGTGTTCATGTGCAGGAAGATTAAATGAAAAAAAAAAAACAACAACAACCTGCAAAAAATAGATCTGAAAGGAGAAGAGAAATAGCAAGAAAATGCTCTCAGAACTTCCTGACCTTTGCATGGGGCTTTGACATCATTTAACATGAAATTTTCTCTTCCTTAACTGTAAATGGGACTTATTGCAGCTTTGAGATGAGTTGAGCACTGCATTTCTCTAAAGCATGTTGAGTAAAGGAGGGGGAAAAAGCAGAGCCATTGTTCTGCTTTCCCTGATTTAGATGGGTGGATTAGGAAAAACCTGGACTAGAGCTTTGAGAATGGGCAGTTCCAGCCCAGGAGGACGTGCCTTTACCTTGGCAAAATCACAGCACCCATGGAAGGCTCAGTGACTCTTGATTAACTGAATTTTTCCTTCTTCTCAGAAACTGTTCAGAAGAGAAATCCAGCCTCCATTTAAACCTGCTTCTGGAAAGCCAGAAGACACCTTTTGTTTTGATCCAGAATTCACAGCAAAAACACCAAAAGGTAATTAACTGTGCATGACTGTAAATTGGTGAGGTTTGTGGGACAAGAGGGTCAAATTCACATTAAAACAACAAGCAAAAAAACCAGTGACAGAGTTAAAAGGAGAGGATGCAACAGGGTTCCAGTGCTTTGAAGGAGTGTGTTCTCCTCACAGGGTTCCTGGTCTTTGAAATATTCTGCTAAACTTTGATTCCTACAGAAAAAAAAATCAAATAAATGGAATGTTAACAGCTGAATTGTGGTTTCTGGTTATGATTTAAAGTCAGACATGCACTGTTTGGGCGGAATTAATACTAAAAGTAAACCCAATTTGATAGCAGCAGTGATTATTTTTAGGGTCAGTACTTCACTAAGAAGGACTTGCTTTAAGTAATGATTATAATTACTGTTGCTTAGTCTGCTTCAAGTTTCACTTCAGGTTTTCTTTTGTGATTTTTTTTATTTCCTTTCCTGCTGCATCCAGCTTTTAAAGCCACTTGCTGTTGTTTGGAGAAGGTCTGTGGTTTTAACAGGCCACTCAATATTATCAAACTGTGCTCACTGTGAGGCTTCACAGTGAATTTAGAGGTGCACATAATATAATCTGGGGAAAACTGGGTTCTAATTATTCAGTAATATCACTAATTAAATATTCTTGCACTGCCTCACTTGTGCCTTGCCAGCAGCACATGCACCACTGAAGCAGCACAATCTGGTTGCTCTTCTGTGTTATGAAGTTGTTGAACACAAGACCACGATCTTTATTTCTTTTTCATAAGTAAAGTTGTGTTGCAGTAAATTTCTCCCTAAAAACATATGTTCATACACTAATTCCTGCAGTGTTTCCCAGTTCAGACAAGACCCAGGAACACTTGCTTTGTGTTTGTTACAGAAGTAAGAGCAGACAGATAAAAAACTGGAAGTCTTATCTGGTGTTATTCTTGTTTGCTTCCCTTCCTTCCCTCAGAATGTTTCTTGTAGGATAACTCTTAAATGTATAAAAATAGCCTTATTTTTCTGGGATTTGTCCACACTAATCACATGTGTCTGCCACCAGATTCTCCAGGAGTCCCACCGAGTGCAAATGCCCATCAGCTCTTCAAAGGATTTAGTTTTGTTGCAACTACTACTGTAGAAGACCATAAAATATCCCCTCTCACCAACATCCTGCCCATAGTACAGGTAACACTTGGGTTTTTGGGAAGCTTTTTTGACATGTCAGAGACGGACCAATATTTAGTATTTACAGCCTGTTCTTTTTTTTTTGGGGGGGGAGGAGACCATTATAAAATGTGCCTTATTAAAATACTTCCCTGGGATATTTTTGAAATTTAAAAAGTCAGCTGCAGGTTTTCTGGAGGCAGAATTCAAAAGAGAAGTCATGGGCAAGCAGGAGAAACTTTTGCTGTTGGAAACTGTCATGGCAAAGAGCATCTTGTTGGTTTAGATGACAACTTGAATTTGGTTTTTTTTTGAAGCAGCTTCATGGAAACAGTGCCCAGTTCACTGATGTCTATGAACTGAAGGAAGATATTGGTGTTGGTTCCTACTCTGTTTGCAAGAGGTGTATACACATAGCCACAAACATGGAGTTTGCTGTGAAGGTACTGGAATAAATTTCATTGTTACAGTTCAGAAATTATTGTGTAGCAGATTTATAAATTTAAATTTATGAATTTTCCAATCACTGTAGCTGGTTTTATAAGTCTGAAGCCTGAAAATACTGTGCAATTATGAGAATGCCAGAAATAAAGTGAGATTCACAAGGGTGGAACTGGGCTGCAGAGGGAATTAGTGATGCTTCAGACAGTCCATTGCATTTCCTTGCCCACTGGAGCAGGATAGGCTGCATTAATGATAGAATCTTAACAAGGATAGAGCAAGAAATGAATAAACTGTGGGATGTGAAGCTGGAACATGAATTAATCATGATTAATAAGAAGTAATTAACTGTGGAATTTTTTTGTTCTGTTGTTGAAGCAAGGATGTAAATAGAAAAAAAATGTCTTTATTAAGCAGACTTTGTTTATCCAAGTTGTTTTTCCTGTTATATTTGGCAGATAATTGATAAAAGCAAGAGGGATCCCTCAGAAGAAATCGAGATTCTCATGCGTTATGGACAGCATCCAAATATTATCACTCTAAAGGATGTATGTACCTCTTTCTCTGCTACCTCTTACTACACAGTGGTCAAAAAAACAAGTACAGATGCAGGGAGTTTATTGGGATTCATTACATTTCTTTTACATGGTAAAATGTATTGTGAGAGCAGTACCTAACAGTAAAGGGAGTATTTCAAAATACAGTGTTGTCCTGATATTAATTTTTTTCTAAAGGCTGTTTAATGAAGCTGAAGTGAGAAATGCTGTAAAGGTTAGAAATGCCATATTTCTTATGTTAAATGAGTACTAATGTGTTGGTGATCTGAGAAGGCTGTTCATGTTGTCCTGTGTATGCCAACTGCCAGCAGCTAAAAGTTACCTGCGGAAGGGAAGAGCACTAGGGAGTGGTAGGGCTGCTTTCCTCTTGGAACAGAAGTTCTGGGACTGAAAAATACAATTTCAGAGTCGTGAATCAACTCCTGATTGACACATGAGCTGCCTCACACTCCGTGCTGTGCCAGGGCCTGCTGTTTGTGCTCCACGTTCACGTGGGAGCAGGGGAGTAGTCCAGTGGGAAACTTCAGTTTGTCGGGATGTGTAATGGGAGATATTTGCTTTTAATAGATACATTTACACGAATACACTTGTTAAACGCCTCCTCAGGTGTATGATGACGGCAGGTTCATCTACCTGGTGACTGAGCTGATGAAGGGGGGGGAGCTGCTGGACCGGATCCTGAGGCAGAAGTTCTTCTCGGAGCGCGAGGCCAGCGCTGTGCTCTTCACCATCGCCAAGACCGTGGACTACCTGCACTGCCAGGGGGTGAGGGTTCCTGCCAGGCACAGCCTCTCCCACACCTCTTAGGGTTACAAATCCCTTGTGCTATGTGGCTTCTTGCTTGGCTTGTTTTTATGGCAGAAGGGAGAAAGGTTTTGTATTTTATTACAAAGGTGAATAATATCAACAACTCGTCCTGTTATTCTGGCAAAGCCTTTTGGCTCTGCAGTTTATGAAACAGCAGATGTTTGTTCTCTTGTGCTTGTTGGCAAATGGTGGTGTCAGTTCCAGTTACATTATGAGCTTTTTATTACCTTACTTGAGCTAGAATTTTCCATTACTATAAATTAATATAATTACTTAGAACTGTTTATAATTATATTCGTCTAGAGAACAGTTTTTATAAATTGCAACTAACATACAAACAAATGTACATGCTCCTTCTAAATGGTGCCTTTTCAAATTTCTTGGTTTAAAGGTGGTGCATCGAGACCTCAAACCCAGTAATATTTTATATACAGATGACTCCAATAATGCTGATTCCATCAGGATTTGTGATTTTGGATTTGCAAAACAGCTTCGAGGAGAAAATGGACTCCTCCTAACCCCATGCTACACTGCAAACTTTGTGGCACCAGAGGTATTTTAAGCTGTTCTGTGTTTTCTTTATGCTGTTTTTGATGCATCAGATACTTAAACTTTTTAGCAATGCTTGAAAAAAAGAAAAATTCTGCTAGTTTTCCTTAAATATAGTCACACATCCTTTACAAACACTGGTGCATGTGTTTATTATAAACCTGCTTTAAAATAGCAGAGTCCACCCTCAAAAATAAGATGTAAGCCTGTTGAAAATCTTAAGAGATGATGTTCTGGGAACAAGAAATATTGTTGGTATTTACTACAATATTGAAAAATCAATAGTCAAACCTGTGACATGATCCAGGGATTGACTTACCCTTTCTTTGGGCTGGGTAGTGGTGTTGGTTTGGGGTGGTTTGTGATCCATGAAAAGTCTTTAACACTCTCTTTGTTTCACAGGTGCTCATGAGACAGGGATATGATGCTGCTTGTGACATATGGAGCTTGGGTGTTCTTCTTTACACCATGTTGGCAGGGTGAGAAAGATTTCTGAGCTGTTTTGTTTACCTAAAATTCCAGCATGCTGCATGAATCCCTGCTTCCCTTCCAATGGAGAGGTATTACCTCATGGAATGACACACTCAGGTAGAACAGGGAGCTGTAAGTAGATAAGCAAACACATAAACCAGCCTCATCTTACAAGGAGGTTTAAGGCTTCTCTTTTCCATGGGACATGACTGGGGGATGCCAAGGACTTTCCCCAGTTTCCTCAGAGAATTTAGCCTGTGAAAGTACCTGGTGGTTTTCTTTTTACCCTCCAGCCTCTTGTCCTCCCCACCCTACACCCTTGGAGTCACCTTCTTGTGTCTCCTGACCCTGTTGTAGAACACACTGGTTTTTAAAATCTCTGGAGTTTTCTAACTCATCCAGACTGATGCAGCTCTAGGAAGCATCTAGTGGCCAAATGAGAAAAGGTTTTATGAGTTTTGCTCCAACAGAAAACTAGCAGGCTTTCTTGTCTTATGGCTAAATAATTGGAAATTATTCTCTTCATAAATTGGTACTTCTGATGTAATATGAGAAGTATTAATAGTATTTAATAGTATCTATATATTCTGTGATAGGTTTCTGTTGGCAGTGGAATATTGACTGACTCATGAGATTTTTCCCAATTCCTTCCAGCTTTTTACCCTTAACAAGGTGTTTTGTTTTTTGTCTCTCAACAGCTACACTCCCTTTGCCAATGGTCCCAATGATACTCCTGAGGAGATCCTGGTACGGATAGGCAGTGGAAAATTCTCCCTAAGTGGAGGCAACTGGGACACTGTTTCAGACGCAGCAAAGGTGGACATGTGTTCTGTTTTTATAATTTTGTAGAATTCAAATGAATGTTACTCAACTTTATAACTAGACAGATCCGTCAGGGCAGTTTGTTGTTATTACCTGTAAATTTTATTGCAGAGGAGGACATGTGGTGCAGCCTCCTGCTCGAGGCAGGGCCAGCTGTGAGGTCTCACCAGGCTCAGGGCTTTATTCAGTCTGGCTTTAGAAGGGTTGGGCACTGAACAGTTTGCCTGGGCAGTCTTTCCCAGTGCTTGGCTGCTATGATAGAATCCAAATCAGGTGTCTGTGGAGTTCCTTCAGTGGAAGGATGATTTTTAGTTATCTGTCAGTTCTAGTAACTACTCAGTCTGCCATGAAGTTGAATTTTTTATAGTGCCATTTCTTTGTTGAAGTCATCGAGTGTCTTGTCTTTGTGAGTACTTTAACAACCAATTAGATCTGCATATCTTGCCAAAAATCTTCATTATGCAGCTGTCCCTTTTTATTTAAAAATACTCCATCTCTTGCTCAATTCCCTGGGGTTGGTGTTGACCTGGTGTGTAGGTATCTTAATCACCAGTGTTACCTTTTCTAAAGATTGGCATTAATATTAATAATAATTACTAATAGTAAAATATCTTTTCCTGATCCTTTGGAACTGCACTGTTTGTTCAGTTCAGTAGGAGTGATTCAGAATGCTGCTGTCTTAGCACAAGAAACTCACTTCTGTCTATTTAAGAATGCTTAACATTTTGTACCTCCAACAAAGGGAACATTCTGTCAGCTTGTCCATATTTTGTTTTTAATTCAGACTATTCCTGTCTCTGTTCTGTGCCCTTCCCAGCCAGCTCTGCTTTTGACCAACATTGTAATTAGTAGCTTATTGCTGATGCTTCTAACAGGCAAAACCAAGTGTCCATTGCTGTTGGATTTATTCTTTATGTGGTTCCTTGAAGGAAAAGTTCATTGCTGGTGTTTCACTGTCAATTAATTCAACTGTAATGTGTAGTCAGACCCCAAACATGTAGAATGAACAAGGAGAGATGTTTGCAAATAACAGCTTTCCTTCATAAGTTCTGTCTGCTAAATTTTAATAGGATTTCTAGTCTTTTAAAGATTCTGTTAGTAATAAACATGAAAGGCACCACAGTAAGTTCCTTTGCAATAAAGGCTTGCTCTGTTGAACTGCTGCAATAGTACAACACATTGTTTTGAGCCTTCTGCAGTGTCAAGGCACAGAAAGATCCAATTTGTCTCCTGATCTGGGTGTGTGTGTGTGTGCATTGTGTTAATCCCTCTGCCACAGTGGGTACTTTGCTCGTTGCTGCCATCAGTACTGCTTTAAAGATGATTGGAAGTGAACAATGTGTTTGGTTTTCCTGCAGGACTTGCTCTCCCACATGCTGCACGTGGATCCCCACCAGAGGTACACGGCAGAGCAGGTGCTGAAGCATTCCTGGATTGCCTGCAGGGACCAGCTGCCACATTATCAGCTCAACAGGCAAGATGCCCCTCATCTAGTAAAGGTAAAACACCCTGCATTGTGCTCAGGGTGGTGGGTGTGCAGTGGGTTGGGTTGGTTCAGAGCTACAGACAGAACTCTCTTCTGTTCTTTGGAACAGGAATTCACTTTCTTTTTGTTTTCCCTAGAACCTGCAGATTTAACCACAGGAGATATTCACAGAATGCTTTGGGTTGGAAGGGCCCTTAAGGTTCATCCAGTGCCACCCCCTGCCATGGGCAGGGACACCTCCCACTGTCCCAGGTTGCTCCAGGTCCCATCCAGCCTGGCCTTGGATGCTTCCAGGGATCCAGGGGCAGCCACATCTTCCCTGGGCAACCTGTGCCAGGGCCTCACTGCCCTCCCAGGGAAGGATTCCTTCCCAGTATCCCATCTAAGCCTGCCCTCTGGCAGTGGGAAGCCATTCCCCCTTGTTCCATGACTACACACCCTTGTATAAAGTCCCTCTCGAAATTATTGATAAATAATTTTTTTTTAGCTTATGTTCAAAGGAAGAGGTTTTTCTGGGTGTTTTCAAAGATTGAGGTAGTTAATATTGAGTTGTCTCGTGAGTCAGGATCTGAATAGCCACTGAACCTGCTGTATTTGGTAAATTGGTGCTGATCTTGCTTGGAAGGTACTAATTCTGCCCTACATTAAAAGGTGACTCCTACATCTAAGGTATACAAAAGGAATACACAGGAAAGAAAAGGACATGTCAGATGTCACCCATGCTTAGAAATTGGAAGGATTCAGCAGTAAATGTATTTTTCCAAGCAAACTTCAGAGATGCCCATGACCTGCCATAAGTAATTTGGGTTTAATCGAGTTAATCGAGAACTTAATTTTGAATTGCTTTATTTTCTGATAAAAATATTGATATATATGTATGTATTATTATTTTATATTTTTTTCCCCTAGGGAGCCATGGCTGCTACATATTCTGCACTGAATCACAAGACATTTCAGCCAGTGTTAGAGCCTGTTGCAGCCTCCAGTTTAGCTCAGCGACGGAGCATGAAAAAGCTCACATCCACAGACTTATAGATCCACTGGGACACCTGAGCACACAGAAGCAAGGGGGAAACTCAACAAGTGGCTCTGTTTTGCCTGACCTGTGATCAAAAGGCATCTATGGTTTCCTGCTACACTACTTGAATTCTGTAAAAGTCCTTTTTTAAAAAAGAAAAAAAAATCCACAGGTTCATACTGTGTTTGTTTTACAGGCTGTATCTGTTAAATTAATTTAAACATCAGGTACACCATAATGAACTTCTCTACACTGTCCTTTGAGATCTGTTGCAAATATTCTTTCATATTCTGTATAGTTTTGCTGGGTTCAGTTAAAAAAAAAAAAAAAGTGGTTTAGGGGACCGTTGCCAATGACCAAGTTGTACATAAAGTGTCAGTGGGAGTTTTCTTTTCTTCACACCTTTAGACCCCGTTGTGAAGGACAAATTAATTTTGTAATTGGGCACTTATTTCATTCAACTTGATTCATTTCACTTGTCCTTGACTGTTATGCAGAGTTGACTCATGTCGTGTGCCAGTGTTCAGTTCATGAGTGTTGATTTATTTGGGAGGTCTGTGTTTGCATGGTGCCAGTAACTGATAAATTCATGTGAAAATACAAACAGAGGGATGTGGAAGATTCTGCACTTGACCCATCAACTTAATTTGATCACTTGTGACCCAAAAGAAGTGCTGATTGTGGCCTCTTAAAGGAAAATGAACATTTCTAGTTGTTACCACAAATTGTGTCCTGCACTGAGCTGGAAAAAGTTAAAATATGCATAAACTGTCAAAAGTAAGATCTCAAAACATTTGAGACAACATCATGCAGCTCAATCCTTTGTTATTTCTGTTTGCCATCCATTAGTAAAACCACTGTGTTATTTCCCTCAGCAGTCTTTCCATTGAATATGAGGTTTGTTTGGCATATGGCACAAACTGACACTTTATTATAACAAACTTGGCACGTGGATTTTTATTTATTTGATTTATTATTTTTTTTTAATAGAACGTTGTTGCTTCTCTCTGAACCTCTCGCTGCATGTACAAATATTACAGAACAGAAATGCAAAATTCTCTTTGCCTAACTGTAGGGGTAGCTTGGGGAAATAAATAAGCCTTGCAGTGTGCCCAGATAAGGGAATTCTGACCAAGGAATGTCACAGTTATGGACAAATTCCTATTGCCAGCACTCCCTTGCCCTCTCTGTCTGGTGTTAGGACTTGAACTGTTCCTAAATGCTGTGATGAAGAGGAAATTAATTGCAGGGCCAGAATTATCTTGGAGTTTTCTGCCTCAGAACCTTTGCTAACTGCTGGTAGACTGGGAACTAATGCATGCAGAGATAAAAGTGTTTTCCAAAGTTGCAGACTCTGAGGAGTTGTAGTTTCATAGCAGGATGACACACATTTTAAATATTAAGTAAATAAGTGGTATTAGACTGTGAAGAGGTAGAAAATCCAAGTGACCAAAAATCAAATCTGATTTGTCGTCATTGAATTTCAAATTACAGGATGCCAGTGATGGCAGAACTTGGCATTTTGAGGCAGGGAAAAAACTTTCCAAGAGAATTCTGGCTCGACCACCAGGAGTGGTGTAGTAACTCAGATCTTACAAGAGGGTGTTGGCTGGGTTTTGTCTGTACCTGTGAAGTACTTGGGGGTGTTGGAAGTTCTGTTAGATAAGCTGCTTTCTTCTGTTGTGGTGGGGGAAGATGGGAATTACCTGGCCAAATAGTTAGGTCTGAATATATCTAGATTTGAGACTTCCTGAGTATAGCAAACATTGGTGTGCTCTTTGTATCATGCAGAACATACCCCATGTGGAATTTCTGGAATGTTGATAGGTGTTGGAAGCTTTAGGGGCCATATGTGCCTGGTTTAGAGGTGCCTGTTTGAAATGCTTGAAAGCTTCTCAAAGAACACAACTGCTTCCTGGAAAAGCTTCTTGTTTAGGACAAAATCTGCCCCTTTTGCAGCTGGTTCGTCTTCCTTTTCCTTACTCTGGAGACCTTTGCCAGCAAGAATGCCTGTAAACCTCTTGTCCACACTCTGTCAGGATAATTCTGATGTTAATTCACAGAAGAATTTGAATTCACTCAAGAAAAAAAAAGGCAAAGTGGTGGAAACGAAGCTCCCTGAGCCAAGGTCAAGCTGTGATGTGGGTTGAAATGTAGCAGTAAAAGCTGTGGTGGGGATGAGAGGTAAATGCAAGGCCTGGAACACAATGGAAATGTCAAACTTGCATTGTCTTCAGCTTTCCTGTAAGGCAGCAGCTGGTCTTTAATGGCTTTACCCATGAATCATTTAACAGTGTTTCTATTGGTATTTTCTTTTAGCTTGTAGAAGCACCACATTATAAGCACCTTAAAAGCATTTTGCACAAGAGCAGTTGGAAGCAGCTGAAGGTACTGAAGTTGTTCTTGATGTGCAGCACAGAGGTGGTGAGAGGAGAAGTACACAGACAAGGCAAAGAACACAAACAGGGTGGATGTTCTGATTCTTAGCAGAGTAAAACATCTCTGAAGTTATCCCTGCTGGTTTCATATCACTCCTGGCCTTTAGGAAAAATGGTACTCCTGGGGTAAAAGCAAAGTTTCAGTGACTGCAACATGACAAAGTTCTCTTATCACGAGGAAAACATATGGATATGTTATATCTGACAGGCCAGTGTACCCTGGTATGCCAATTGTAATCCTTAATCTGAGGGGCAAAGTTCCCTTGCTATGACTATTTCAGCATATCAATCTCTGAAACGTTTTGGGTGTGCAGGAATACAGAAGAGTTCACGTGCAGTTTACTCTTTCTGTATGTAATGATCATCCTTGAGATGCTCCTTTTGGAATTTCTTCCATATTTCTCATCCCTTCTTTTTTCTCAGCTTAGGTTTTGTGGTATAAAAGTAGCATGGGCTGCTCATGGGCTCAGTTAAATGTTTGGAAGGGAAGAACACGTAACTGGAACGTGCTCTTCCTGGAGTGAAAGGTCAGTGCAAAGGTTTTCACTTTTGTATCATCTGGGCACAGCTGAAGTTTACAAATTGCTTTACTGAGTTTGGGGAAAAAGTAAGTCAGATTTTTACAAAGGCTCGTAATTACACAGAAATAGGCATTCAGGCTAGAGGAGTTCCCACAGGACTAAAACTTAAATGATACAATATTTTGGCAGTGGCTTCTGTTACTGCCAGCAAAGCTCCTGCTCTGATGTTTGGTGATAATTATCAATAAGCTCCAGGTCTCTGGTGCACAGAGAGGAGATCCCACAGACATCAGTTGGAGCTGGACCAGGCTCAGGACATGCTCTGCTGTTCTTTCACCCCTCAGATATCACCATTTCCATCTTCAGTTATGCTTTTGATAAAAAGTGAGGGACTGTTGTATTCCTGTTACATATCCAAAAACTCTGCAGTGGCATCGGTGTGAGCCAGTGGTGGGTGACACAGAGTGCCCACACTGAGAGCTTTGCCTGGGTGGGTTCAGTCAGGCCACTGTTCTGTGGCTGCTGTAGTCTGTGTTGTGTGGGTTTGGCTCTTTTTCCTGTTTTCCTTAAAACCAGTGAATTCTTGACCACACCAAGAGCTGAGGTGCAGGTGCTCCAAGTGTGCTGTTCACTGTAGTGTGGTTTAAATGTCCCTGCGTCCAGAGAGGGAATCCAAAACCTCACCCAAGTCAGTCATGTCGAGCTTGAATTCTGTCTTCCCTGTTTCAGTTCATTTTTCAGAGCTGATCTTCATTTGTCCAGTGGTTAAAATAACCTCAAGCAAACTTCACAGTTGGAAGTTCCTTGCAATGGTTACAGACTGGTCTGTAGGACTGAGTTAAATGAATTACACAAGGCTATAATAATTTTCCTGATTTGTATCAGTGAAATTAGGCTAGAACATCAGTGCAGACATGGGGGTTTATGGACTTCTGTAGCACTTAAGCTTTTTCAGTCCTGTCCAGAATTAAAAGTTTGCAAATATTTGTGGGAGGGGAAGAGAGGAGCAAATTTTTCTTTCTCGCAAGTTTTCAGAAGGCTCCTGAAGCTGTGATGATAATAGAGCCCTTATATAATCCTGTAAGGTTAAAAACGTACAGTTCTCCTTGGAAGTTAATTCAGAAACCTTGTTGGGTGTGTGCTGGTACCTGTTGGTAACACCCTCCACATTCACACTGTACCATCCTTCGGCATTAACATCCTCTGCTTCAGCACATTCTGAATACTGGTTGTCTCTGCTTCAGTGTAGTTCTTAAATGTTTGCTCCCCCAATTTTTGTTGTTCCTTTGGGAATAGAAGAAAATACAAATCTGGCAAAACCCCACCCTGAGTGTGTAGCTAAAGCTGACTTGAGCATTATAATAATTCATACAATTAGAAGCCCCCATAAAATCATCAGCAGCTGGTTTTTCTCGAGCTTTTTCCTGTGTAATGAAAGCAAACTGTCTCTGAAAGCTTTAGAAGACATTGGATTGATTATATCTCGATATTTGGGCAACAGCTCATTACCAATAGCGAGTTTGAATAACACTGAATCCTCTTTGGGGGTTTTTCTGTGACAGCTGAAGATGCTGGGGGTGAGTCTCCCTTGCAGGACCAGGGGTTCAGGTTTGGGTGTTTTGCCTTGGGCTTTGGAGCAGTGTTGTCAATGGGTTGCACTGTCACCATGTCCCAAGCACTGTGGCATCTTGCCCTGCTCCCCTGGGCAGAGCTGAAGCTCCTCTGGCGCGGGAGCGGTGACAAATCTCCGGATCCGAAAGGGCATTAACTGCGAGCAGTGCAATGAATTCCATGCTCTCTGAGGTACTTCGAAGGTGGAACTATCCAAAAGGTCCCCGTTCTCAGATATTGTAACTGTCATTTTCTCTCTCTCTTAAAGCATATTGTGGATTTTGTATCATACTGTATTTATTTCATTTAATTTTAAAAGAAATGTTTTCTTTAAAGCTCTGTATATATTGACATTAAAGTTTGCATTGTACTACGTTCTCCTCTTCTTGCAAGGCTGAGTCTGGCAGTGCAGGGTGTGCTGTGGTGGTTTTCTTGGCGCTGTTGCCAAATTACAACATGCCAAAACAACCTCAAAATGGTATTTATTTTTGTTAAACTTTGTGAATAATCCTAAAGGTACAGTTTTAAATAGCTGGCAGTTCCTTGAGCACTAGAATAGAAAAGTTGCAAATTCATAACGTTTTATAATTGACAGAAATCCATCACTTATGATTTGGAAGTTCACCAACTCTTTATTTTTTTTTCCTTTTAATGGATGAGCAGGCATTCCTAAATTAAATATAAACTGTATTACTTGGTAAACCTTGCCAAAAATCTCACATACATCAAGTGCTATTTATGAATTTATCCTCAGTCAAGTGTTTCATGCCACACTTGTAATAAAACAGACATTCAGTGGTAGGATTGATGTGTTAGGATGGGATGATCTACCTTCTGTGTGTTTTTCAGGTATCTATTAAATTTGAGTTAATGCATTAAGAGGAAATAATTTTCCTGCAAAGATCTGGTCCTTTGAAAATAGAAACTTGGATTACAAGTGCCAGGAATCACATTAATAACTGCCCTGCATAGACACCTGGGCAGGGTTATGATGGTAAATCATTGCAGATTATTGAACTCTTCTGTCCTAAACATGAACTGTTGCAGCAAAGCCAAGTGTTGTTGATGTTGTCACTGCCAGAGAATGGAACAGCTCAGGATAATCCCCGTCATGGCACAGGAAAATGAGATTTCAATATAATGGCATTGGGGTTAAATTGCAATATCTGGGTTTTAAATCACTCCTGAGGTATTTGGTAACTCCTGGTGCTGTTTGTATTTAAAATGACTTGTGGATATTTTTTTTCCATCATTCCCAAGGCACAGAAGTGTTTTCCCATGGTTGCTTCAAGTCCATCTCTTGAGTGATGTTTGCTCACACAAAAGCACTTTGGGGCCTGTCTGGTGAGTGACTGAAACCATATAGGAGGCAACAGGTAAAAAAGATTCCGAGATGGTGATGATTTTCTTGATTTCATTGAAGGTAGGCAGGAAAAAACTAACCACGTTGGCCAAAAATGTTACTCTAAAATACTTTTAATAGCCCTGAAAACCCCAAAGTCTCAGTGGGTTCCTGTAGGCTTGGTGAAGATGTTGCTGGTGGGAGAAGAGACAAGGCATGGATTAAAAACCAACCTTACTGAAGGTTTTCAGAAAGCAAGCACCAGGGACGAGCCAAGTGTTAAAAAAGGGACTCCAGAATGTGCCTTAATCACATCCTGCTCTCCTTGTTTTCCTGCACATCTTGGTTCTCAGGAGCTGTTTTCCCCATGATTCATCTCTGAAGCTTTATGATTGTTAAGAGGCACCTTCCCTCATCTCTTTTGTGCTTTTACAGGGGGGACAATGTTTTAAGGTAAAGAAAATGCTCCCACCTTTGCCCCAGCTCTGGCACGTAGCAGGAACAGGGAGCAGGTGTCTGCTGGAAGTGTGGCCAAAACAAGGATTTAACTGTATTTATTTTAGTTTTTGTTTAGCAGTTTTCCCCAAGAACAGGTGTTTTTTGTCATCTTCCACTTGTTTTGGGGTGAATTCAGTCGTGTCAGGGGGGAGGAAGCAGCGAGTAGCGGGTGAAGCACAACCCCGGGGGCTGCTGCACAGAGGGGATACAATTCCTCACTGCTCTTCTCTTGAGAGCCTAAACCCAAAACTATTTGAATCCTAGTGTTGCTGAGGGTAGGATGGAGCACCAGATCCCGGGGACATCGAGCCTTGGAAGTTGTTATCACTTCAGCTGGGCTGTCAGACACCGGAGCGAGAAAATGTGCCTTCAGCACAGCCCCGGTGGGTCCTGCCGGGGGAGCCGGGTAACCCCTCGGGGAGGGTTTCTCCTTGGGGATCGGAAGGAAAATCCTGATGCCTGGGGTGCAGGCAGGGAGAAGGGACATGGAAGGAACCTCCAGGTGAGTACAGAGTCACAGCGAGCCCAAAACCACGGCGAATGTCGATGCCAGGCTCGGGGTACCAGTGCCAGGCTCAGGGGGTCGGGGCCGAGCAGTGCCGGGCCGGGTTGGTCCCATCGCGGGGCCCTTTGTGGCCGTTCCCGCTGGCCGAGCCCGTCCCGGGGGACCTGCAGGCGGTCCGGGGGTCGCAGCCTCCCCTTTTCCATCCCCGAGGCCGGGCTGGTCCCACGGATC